GGTATTAAAAAAGGGGTTTTCTTCTTCCGATCGATTCTGGTACGAAATTCCCCGCAATCAGTCAGTGGTTGAAGAACGCACTTTCCACCAGTATAAACTGATGGATTTCTTCCTCTCTTCAAACCTTTACCACAATGATACTGGTATAGTAGAAATATATACTCGATGTACCAGCATCACCTCCTTTTCTGCCATAATTAAAGTAGAGGTGTCGTCGGAGGCGTGAAATACCTGAGTTTTCTCATTTGTTTGTTTGTTTTTGGCTTGGGATCAGGCTGAACTATGGTTAGATTGTCCACCGATGGACTGGTGGATTGAAAATACCGAAGAAATCTCCGGTGCTCCGGGCCGTAGATTTGTGGACGCAAATCTGCCAGCGGTGGCTCCATCGGTCGTGACGTCAGCACCAACCAGTGAATTAAAGAAGGCAGTTTGGTGATCGGTTCCACCGCCGGTCAATCAAAAAAAGCCCCTAAAGCTGCAGAGCTTTTACGCTTTAGACTCACAGTTGGAAGGAATAGAACTGTGGCCATAACTTGGCCCAAGCCGCTAAAACCTGGATAGCAACACACAACAGGCTCCTGCGAGCTGAATTGGAAGTACTTGAATGCTGTTTGACACACCATCTTGGTGGAGTAGGATACTTTGGCATTGGTAATAAAAAAAATTTCAGTTTGGATGAGCCAAGGCACATGTTGTTGATCAAAACATCAAATTGGTTTGCAGTACAAGTGGAAATGGAGGGAAGAACCCATCATCGAATAATCTATGGCACTGTGAAGTCAATTAGGGAAACGGGTCCAGTTGTAATGGAGATCTGAGTAATATGATAAATGAGTCTCGGGCGTCATGCAAAACTTGGTCGTCAAGTTTAGCGGTCTCCACGCCTTGCATTATGTGCATCGGCATCGGCCATAGCATACTACGGTCGGAAGAGAAAAGACATTGCACATTTTTAAAATAAGTACGAGAGCAACTGTGCGGACGTTTCAATCAGCAAAGAATGCTTAGCGAGTTTACCTGAATTAAAAGATGTTCAAGGAAGTCTGGTCAATCAGTCAAACGCGCTGAGGAATTCGCCGACCATAAGCACAAACGAAAGCGAAACGGGTGAACGGATGGCGGACGGACGTGAACGGCAGGCGGCGAGACCGGGGGAAAAAGCGATAATGTGGTGTGTGGTGGGGGAGAAGAGAAGAGGATTGGAGGAGGTGTGTTGTTAGATGCCGTGATGACGTCCAAGATATCTCGGTCACGTTAGCCAATGACAAGCCATCTTGTGCGTGATGATAGATGAAGTAATAAAATCTATCCAATCAGATTAATTAACGATTAAACGAATGACGTCAGGAATGGTTGCCGAAAAAGAAACACTCGCTCTATCGCTTTCATCACGACCGCAACAACGAAACAAACAACGTGATTCAACGATCTGACTGATAACAGCAACAGCATCCACAAGGGTGAAAGTTTGTTTATAGAATTTAAAATAAGTAATTTGTAGATTTGTGTTGATAATAATATTCACGGTCAGTGCCTATAGAAATCGATTCGAAGGTCTCAAACATTAAATTGAACTCTGTATTTTTCAATGTTGACAATCGTTAGCATGTTGTGTCAAATTTGCCTTGATAACCGTTGATGAAAAGTGAAACAATTAAGCATATGAAGGAGTTGATTGCTGATATTGCAGCATCAGTATGGGGTCAGGCTTCCTGGATGAAAATATCAACCCTTGCCTGAAGGTTCTTTTTTTCCTCTCTTAATTTTCATTTTTGACGTACTTACATTGGAACATTTGACAGTGGTCCGGTCTGTTAAATAGATGATAAGTATGAAACGAGGGAATACTCTGTAGGTCGATAACTGAAATTTTTGAAACAGCTTGAAGACACTAAAATACATTATATTTCATGGTTGAGGTAGGGCTGTGTCATAGAATATAGAGACAATGCCAACAGAAGCGAAAGCCACGGCCATTTTTATGACACCGAAGCGGTCTGAGTGTCTCAGTGAGTAGTGTTTACATTTTGCGCTTTGTTATACGGCAGCGTTCTCACTTTGCAATAAGCGTGCCAATCGACAACAATGCGATCATCTCAGTAGGAAGATGGCCGCGCAGCTGAGAAAAATGTTAACATAGGTTCTCACGGAGCTTTCGCTTCTGTTGGCGTATTCTCTTTATTCAGTGGCTGTGTCTTGCCTTGTCAGGCTGACATAATTTTATTGAATGGGCTGCTGGAGACCGATCACACACTGACTCCGCTTCCACAAGCGCTTCAATTTGAGCTGAATGTGTATTTTGCAATGTTATTGAGAGATGCCCTTTGAAAACCCTCCGTGCAAACTCTATTGCAATGCAGATCTATCGCCTATCAGGTTTGTTATGTAATTGTCACATGCGCCGAACTGCCGTTCAGGCTGTGCAGTTCTGGACAGCTCTCTAAGGGAGAAAAGGAATGAAAGAGTCGGTGCTGCAAGACCTTCGCCTTTCTTCTGTATTTTCGTGTTCTCAATGTAATGGTCAGAGGAATAAAAAGCTTCACTTTTCGCCTTAGCTCTCCCTCTTTTCATTCCTTTTCTCCCTTAGAGCGCTGCCCGTAACTGCACGGCCTGAACGGCAGTTCGGCGCATGTGACAGTAATCCCTCACTAGACGAGTTTATGTCCAGTTGTATTGAAAAATTGGCTTTGAAGATTTTAACAGTAAACTCCCTACCTAAAGAATTTGGTACTCAGTTGCAAGTGGTTTTTAGTTTATTTTTGTCTTGAAAGAGGGCGTAATGTTGCTTGGTATAGACTACCAGAAAAGAAACAAAAATAAAAAACCACAATACGTATTACTGCATCAATCTTTTTAAGTAGAATACGATATGGACGCATTAAAACTTCAAACTATTTAAGGAGCTGCTCCTTGAAAGAGGCTACAAAGTGGGCTTTAATTACTATACTTCTATTCCAGCATCTCGGGTTAGAGTTGCTACTGCTCTTTTGTGTGGGCTGAAATATATTGCTTAGGCTACCTAATGCCAAATTCACGTCTTAACTTTTCCTCTGAGTTCACTGAATGGAAAGTTTGTCTGTGTTTTTCAAAAAGGATGGATTTCTCTTCAAGTAAGTAAGTCACAGGAAAAGTTGGATGACAAATTGAACCACCTCTGTCATAGGGCTGAGGACTAGTGCCTTGATAATCTTGATGGTGAAATTGCAGTAATGCGCATCTTAGGTTACAGAGTTACTTACTTCCTACCATCCTTTTTTTCCTACATGGAAAACTGCAGAAAGTCATTTCTCAAAAACTTCTGTGATTTTCCTACTCTATGAAGGAATATTCCGTGAAATTTTCAGTCAAGATGGAAAATCATGATATTAGTTTGGCTTCCTCTGGAAAAATGGAATAGGTTTAGATATGTTGAAACAGTGCAACTAAGCAATGCATTTATATAGTTTCTCTGACAATCTAAAACATAGTTTAAAATCTAAGTGGGGTGGGAAAGGCCCTAAGTGACACTCCCTTTTTTTCTATTTTTATTTATCATCCAAAAAGAATTTTTGGAATTCTGTTTGCAACCTATGCCATTTTTTCTAATTTTTTCTTGGTGGTATATGCCTTCATAACTTGATTTCTCCTCTATATTACTTGTAATTCTTTCCATGATTTCAGGAGCAAGCCTTGTCACTAAAGTGCCTGCAGAATAATAATTATGACAAAGATAAATGCTTTCTTCCTATCGAGAACTACAAATTTTGCAAAAAGTTTTGGGTATGTATAATTATGGGACTGCCCCCTTTTTTTATCTTATTTCATGTAATAGGTATGCAACCAGTTAAGAATCATCCAACATGTTCATGGTGAAAAATTTACTTAAAACGGGACTAAGTAAGGCCGTAAAAACATATAATAACAAACCCGGGATGTTTTCTGGTTGTAACACCATGAAACGTCCGGGTTTTTTATTTTATGTTTTTGCAGCCTCAGTCACATTTTCAGTTGATTTTGTACATTGGTTTCGGGCTGATTAACTCATTCGCCTCATTCAACGAGTATACCCATCAGCGTGTGCGCAGGACATATCTCAGTTGATGAGTTAATTCACAGCATTTATTGGTGTCGCTACACAATTGTTTTGGTCATGTTTTTTCGCTTTTCTGATAGATGGCATCTCAAGCGTTGCGATGCCGACAGAGCGCAAGTTAACTCATCAGCTGAGATACATCCTAGGCGTGCAGTGAAGAGTAAACTTGTCATATGAGGCGCATGGGTTAATTTTTTTTTTTTTTTTATTAATTGTAAAGACAGCTGTCACTTGTTCAGAGTCACGATCAATGAGTTGAGTCAATTCCAGCTCTTATGATGTGACATCACAATTAGACATAATTATCAGCAATTCAAATCGATCTATTATTAGCAAGGGGGAGGTCATATTGTAAAAATTATGTGATTCAAAACGTCAGTTAAAATCTTATTCATATATGAGGTCTAGTGTTCAAAACTCACAGGCGCCAACAAGCCAAATGCACCTAAGAAATCGGTCATGGCGCCTAAAAGATGAAGGCTCTGCTCCAACGTGGCCCCTAAAAATTGTCCCCCCCTCTCCCCCCCCCAAAAAAATCCTAAATATTCCTTTTGGTGATTTTTCGGAATTTCTCCGAAATTACAGCTACTTGATCTGTAACTAAAACATCTTGCGTCTAACTTTTAGTAAATGCGATGTGATATATCGACGGTGTAAGTCGGCAATCACATAACTTGTTTGCGGTGTCTGAAAATCTCCGCCTCTATATTATTATTTTTTTAAAGGAGAACAAATTGACATCATTCGTTGAAGCAGAATAAATCACGGCAGTTTTAAAGAATTGCTGTTGAGTGGTTTTCCGTTTAAAAAATGAGGTATGACAGGAAGTTTGGGAGTCGCAAGCCGAGTTATGTGATTGCCAACTTACACCGTCGATGTAGGCAAAAAGTCAATTTAGCCCCTAAAAAATCCTCAATGGCCGCTAAAAATCGAGCTTGGTGAGCCACATATCTCCTGAAACTCAAATGTGAGTTTCAAACACTGATGAGGTATTATCTGAATTACATGCTAAGTGGAGGTTCCAATCCTATATTAGTAATTAGGGGAGTAAGTTCGTAGAGGATCGAGATGTCAAGTGTAGGGCGAAATGAAATCTGCCTCAATGAAGTACTCAAGTCAAGCACATACCATCACCATCACATCTCTTATGTATTAGAAGATCTCCTAAAGCTCCGTTCAATAATAAAAATTCAAATTCAATAATTCGAACTGTCTGCATCGTTAGAGTTTTAGGAAGGTTTGGACTTTCCATCCCCTTCAGTTTATCAGTGGGGTTGTACAGAAATCTAATGGGAGTAAGTATCCTCTAGCAAATGCATGATCCTGAAAATAGTAAATTCCCGACAAAGTGTCTTTTTTTTACAGGAACTAGGCTACACTCTAAGCACATATTGATCTCTTATTCTGACTTTCATCTGTTTTAGGGCAAAGTCCGAAAAATGAGAAGGTCACAGGGTATTTATCCTTTACTACCTCCACCTGAAGAAAGAGAAAAAGTGAAAGCAGACTGGCAGGCAGGCAAATTTAAGCTGGACGTATAGTCAGGTTTTTAAAGGTGCATTGCAAATTCATGGAGTGCATTAGAGATTATTTAGCAAGAGGTATCTTTCCTATCGCAAACATCCACTCATATGGAAAAAAGTGATAATGCTGATTTAACAATTTTGTAGTTGAAAAAAATGTCCGACGTGTTTCAGTGTAGATTTACAATAATAAAATGCTAATTTTACCACCTCCATTGTCAAATTAGCTTTCCAATATTGTAAAATGTACATTCAAAACATGTCGGACTTATTTTTTAACAATTTAATTGTTAAATCAGCGATCAATTTTTTCCGTGCAGGACAAAGTGAGGCAGCTGTAATTAGACTGGTACCTGTAGTTATCTGATAGACTCATGAGATGAATGGCATCCGAGTCTTTCGTTTTCCTAATGTAGCTCATGAAACTTAATAAGTGTCAAATGATTGTAACATAATTGTAATCATCTATTGTTTTCATTGTTTTATTATTAAATGTATTTGATCAAATCCCTTTTTGGTTGAAGAATTCTAAATTTTCTTTTTTAAGACTTAATATGATTAATCAAACCAAGGGTTAGAGGAAAAGTCACCCCTAGGGGTAAAGAGGAGGTCTGAGATCAAGGACTGTAATATCCTACTTTTAAGAGACTTACGATTTTTCAAAATTGTTCGAAACTGTTTTGCCAGGAAATCAATATTTGATGCACAACAGTAACAGAAAGAAAAAACTACTGAAAGACTCGAATTCAGAGCCCACGCCCAACTTCTGCTCTCTCTACAGTTCATACTTATCGTAACTATTCAATGAGTGTTTTACACACTCAAAGGAACACTTTAAAAAAAGAAACCCTCGCATCCAACTCTGTACATTGTATTTCTTATTGTTCCTGAACTATTCTTTTCCAGATAAATAAGGAATCGTTGGTCTAAATTTGTAATTTTATATTTCAAATCATTTTTTCAATAACAAATTAATAACAGCTACGTCAAGACCAAGCTGTTTCATATTTACAAAAAGCTTAGGAAAAAAAAAATAAATATATATTTATATATACATAAAAACATACACAGGGAGCTCAAAATTAGAGGAAATTTTTTTGTAGAAATAAATTAACCATTTTAATGGCTTAAAAGGTACATACTGATTACTTTAAGTTTGACTTACAAGAAGGAAAGAAATTGAGAGACACCAAAGGACTCCATTGCTCACAACTTTAGACTATTGACAGTAGAGCTTAATCTCTAAAACCCTAGGCATAGTTTTTTACTGGAGTATTCTTCACTAATATACAGGCATTTTTTGGTAAGCTCAAAAATTATTTATGACATCAGTTTTCCTCCAATGGTACAAAAATAATCTTTTGATATTTTATGAACAATGATGGCATTAAAAAAACAGCAGAATAAATAACCCATTCATTAACTTTATCGATGGTTAGAAGAATGTTATTTTTAGCGGAGCATATTTGGCTATGAAAGACATCTTTTTAGAGACATCTATTTTCTTCTAAGAAGCGGCCTTCTGATCTAGAAATATAAAATTTTGCCGCCTGTTATTCCTTAAATTTCTGCCATTTATGAAGTTGTGCGTTCTCATTATAGCAGACAAAACTCTTTTTCAACAAAAGTAAGGGGTGCAGACCTTTGCCTCACCTACCCTGCTAAATTTATTATCTTTAAACACCACAAATCTAATGACTTATGATAAGCTGATCTGATGACTTAAGCCAATCATTGGCTCTACAAACAAAATTTTCTAGGATATTGAATTACTAAATAAATCAGCTTTTCTTGTTACAGAAAAAAACTGAGAAAAAGTTGTCAAAGGGAGAAATTGCAGCCAGAATTAGAGTAAAAATTTAATCAACCATTTGATTTAACAGATTTTTTTGTAAAAAGGACTTTTCATTCTACTTCTTGAAAAAATGGCTTGAGGAGAGCTGAAAACAAGGACCAACAACAATATTCATTTTAAAAAAAAGGGGGGGGGCAAATTCCTTCAAATATTTTAGTATCGCTTGTATCCACTTCATCAGAGTGACACTTGGAGAACAAGGACAGAGACCCTAACCAAAATGAACCAAAAATCAATTCTACATCATGGACTAGATGAGGTAAGTAATCAAAACTATATACACTGATTTCAGATATTAAGTTAAAAGTTATTTAATTCTATTACATTAAATTCAGTAAGGTTCAATTGCATTATATAACGCAAGAAGCGACAAAATTGTGGCCAGCAGGGACTGTGTTAAACTCTACTATTCTATGACATTGTGCTACTTTGGTAGAATGCCTTATGCTCCATACGCTATCGTTGGCTCATTTATACTAGGCCTTCTATTTCTCGGGTTGCATTCAGAGTAATCTGGTTTGCACTATTCAAAATCATATTGTTTCTCTGCGGTATTCGGGTTCCTGACTTCGTTTGGCATTTATCTGTCAAAGTAATCTGCTTGCCAGAATGTAAAATGATTGCACATAAATCAATCCCCTCAATTTCTAGCACAAGAAATCTCTGTTTTACAGATTATTAATTGAAAGAAAATGTAAGATTGCTGCAAGAAAACTTGAAATAAAAACTAATAGACACTACAAAATGAGAGGTTCAGGTATTGGCATCACATCATAGCCATTGATGCTTGTTTTTGTGAAACAAAAATCAAGGTGTCTAGCAATTTTTAAAAAAAAAAATCCCTGACATTTCCCCGACCTTTCTGACAAAAACGATAAAAAACCCGGGGAAACTTTAAAATTTCCTAACTGACAGAAAAAATAATTCCCTGACAAAAAGGAAAAATATTCCTAATTTTTCAACTTGTTTGAAGTGATTACATGTAAGTAAGAATTTTTTCATGTTGTGTAAGAATAAAATGTAATAAATACAGCTAAATGTACAGTGCCTAAACATATGCGAGATATTTTTGCTTGATTTTTAAGACTTAAAAGACATTAGCAGAAATTCTGGTAGAAATCTCCGAGAGAGTAAAATTTGCAAAACGTTCTCTGAAAAATTCGTGTTTTTCGATTTCTCTGAGGTTTCTCTGACACGAAAATAGCTTGCAAAATAAAATTCCCTGACATGCCGAATTTTTGCGGATTCCCTGACGTTTTCTCTGATTTCCCTGACACGAAAAAAATTCCCTGACATTTCCTGGTTTTTCAGGTCACTGGATACCCTGAAAATTCTCATTACTAAGGGAAAAAACTCATAGCAAATACATGCTCCCCATTGGAGACTTTGGAGCCCATTTGGAGGTCAATTAGACCCAAAGTGTGCCCCAGACAAGCACCAGTAGCTATGACATAAAATAAACATCTTTGTCTCTGATCTGAGAGGTGCTTCATGCCCTTTCTCATTCATCACTACAAAACTAGATCCAATAATGTAATTGATACTCAAATTCTTGGAGAAAAAGTGCATTGATACGAATCATTGAACAGATATTTCTTCATGCGTAAAAAATTGTACATAAAATATCATACATCTTCACGGCCAAAGAGGTTACTGGTGCCTTTTACTACAGTTATCATCAAGGGAAAATATTTAGAGAATACAGCCTAGAGAAAAACTATGCTTTTAGCTCGTTCGAACAATCTTGAGTGATACAGAGCAGGTACTCCCTCTACAGTAATGGTGCTGTGAGTGAGATGAGACATTGCTAAGCCATCTATAACAGTCTTACAGCTCTGCTCACTGGCATCTGAACAAAGTGATGTTTTGAAATCCCCAGTAAGTTTTGATGTGGAAGTAAATAATCCAGGAAAACAGGTTTAAAGAGAGCGTGTTAAAGAACTCGATAGTGGTAAAAATCCATGACGGAACTACTCCAGTTCCAGCCTGCTGCAATTGAAACAATTAACATAAGCCCAAGTAAAATGAGAGGTGAAAGTAATACTTGAGTTTTTTGTAAGATTGGTAAACAGCTATAACCTAAAAATGTTATGTACACATAGTAAGTGAATGCCACGCACCACAAGAGATTGCCGAACAACCGAGCTAGAAACCAATCATGACTTATCAGGGCATTATAGAAAAATAGTTGAATAACATGTGATATTGCAAATGAGGGAAAGAAGGCATTCAAATGAACATCAAATGCGTAACCCCACTCAACATCTTGACCTTTATGAGATGGTTTTATGAGGTACTTATTAGTGATGAACCAGAATAATGATGCAATACAAAATCCAAAAAATATACAGTCAACAAACACTAAGTACAAAAAAAATTTCAAAAATTCCCAAAAGTTTAGACTCAGAATAAGTGTGAAACCTAATGAGGACACAAATAACCAAAGACTTAACAGAACCAAAAATGCGGGGTCATCTCTTGCAAACTGAGACTTCGTTTCTTTGCGATAATGAAAATTTCTATACACTTTTTGAGGTGCTGAGAACAAATATGTCATTTGCCAGAATGCAAATTCAAAATCCATTTGACTGAATTTGAAAAATCGACGGAGATATCGGTACCTTTTCATTGCTGCAGACATACAGCCTCTGTGAGTAGCAGGCGCTGGCAAATAAGACCCAGTGCTAGCAACTGAATCTTTACGCAAATTACTATACATTTTAGTCTACTTGTAGAGGTTCAACATGCAACTCATTAGCATAGTCACTGGTTCAAAATATTAACACAAAATAGGGACTAATTTTTCACTCTAAAATTCAAAACGTAGAGGTTAAAAAAAAAAAAAAAAAAAATTAAAGAGCTATCATTAGATTTTTTTTCTTTAGCAGAGATTCAAGTGCCTGACCACTACTTCAACCTTTCAACTACTACAGCAGATGTTATTGACAATCGATCAATTTTATAATAAGATTGCACTTGATAAATTCCTTCGGGTATACAAACAATATGAAATTCTTGAGAGAGGTAGGGTTGAATACAACAGGCAGAGTGCTAAGTCCAGGAAAAACAATTTCCTCAAAAATTAAAAACCCGCCTTTTCAAGCTCTCTTAACTGAAAACCCAAGCGCTCTTCCTTAGCTTTCCTTTTGTGTGAGATCTGAAAAACGAAAAAAGGGAAAAATCAATCTAAGCATGAAGAAAATGCATTTCTTTAAATTAGTGCCTTTTTTAAATTTGCAACTAAAGGCTGTTTCAATAAAACTGAAGGTTACCTTGCTCTGAGCAAACTTTTAATGATGTTGGAATACAGTTTGCAGGAGATGTGGCTAATTTCATAAAATTTTTGACGAACCCTCAAGAACTCATTTGCTTTATAATTCGCATTAGCACGACGATTTTTCGGTGACGTGTAAAAGACCCTCCAGAAATTCAAGCCATTTTTCACTCTCCAATTCCATTTAGTGAGGTCGAAGTTATACTGGAAATGAAGTTGGCAATTTTTTAGTGGCAGGATACTACTAATCTTCTTAAGTACTCATGAAAACTGAGCATTTTTCTCCACTAAGAGCTCAGAGAATTCAAAATTTTCAAGAATATAATAGCCTACTCAGATTTTCCAAGCTCAAAGATGCTTCCAAGCTAACTTTTCGAACCCCTTTGCAGTCTATGAGGCTACCTGAAAATGGTGCTACCACTGCCAAATCAATTTTATTCACCCAGAAACTAATATTCCCCTCCACATTTCATAGGTAAGAACTCCAAGGCAAATTAGGATGAGGGTAAAACAGTAATATACCTACCGTTGTTTGAATTTCTCAAAGAGACTCATTAGAGAAAACTTTTTGCCGGATAAACAAGAGCTGGTGCGGCGGGTGCTGCTGTTGTGGAGAACAATCTCAGAGAAGCTGAGCTTCAGACCACACCGCCTTTGATAGTTTTTATGAGAGCTAAAGTATATTAGTTGTATCTTGCATCTGAAGGGTTCCAAACTTCATTTCTAGTGTTAATTTTTCTTTACAGGCTGGGGTTGGAGAGTGAAAAATGATTCGAAAATTCCGGAGGGCTTTTTGTACACGTTGCCGAAAAATTACGATAGAAATGCGAATTTTTCACTAAGTTAGCTCGACAAGGACTTGTTAGAAAGCTAATGAAATAAGCTACAAGGCCTGCAAATTGTATTCTTGCTTGGAACTGGCCACCTTAGTTTATTTGGGACAGCCTTTGAATTTTTTTATTTTATTTTATTTTATGAATTTGAAAGGAAATTTAAGAGGGCACTATATTATAAGACATTTTTGGCCCTTAAGTTCTGCGAAGTCCAGCAAGGTGACTTGGGGTTGAGAAAGCGACTTTGCCAGTTTGATGACAACTCTAGCAGAGACTCTTGACTTATTAACCACAAGATCTAACTGGTGACATCTCTTGCTCAATCTTGCAATCCTGAGTTTGCTGGCCGGACTTTCCCAAACTCATGGCCCTGCAGGCACTGCAAGGAGGCGTCCTCCTCATACCATCAAGATGATCAAACTTTCTCTGCTAAAACTTTTGACTCCAGCAAGTTCCCACTCTTAATTTGAAAAATAGGGACCTACTTCACAAAAGAGTCACCACGGGGAAGAGTTGAAAAATCTGATATCTAGTGTTATGTTTTCTATAAACAGCCCCTCAGCATGCCTAATATAATCAAATTCTAAAGACAAGGTACACTCTACTACAGGTATGGACAAACGGGGTGCCGAAGTGGCAGCGCTGAGAAAATCGGCGATCGAGTGACGTATGAAGTCGTACCGTCCATTTGCCGCGCAGGTCTTCGCAGTCGTACTCTCGATGCTGTCAAATCTACGCGTTTTGACGACTTTCTAAAATTCCATTTGTCCATACCTGTAGTAGAGTGTACCTTGTTCTAAAGAGGTCAACTTTTTGAGGAGGCACCACTGGGCATGGAAAGACCCACTAAAATTAGAGAAAGAAAAGATTGAACAAATGCCATATCAACCTGAATACAACAATTATCAGTTGGCACATTGGTTACCACATGAATTTAGATTGAATAAAGTCATTTTTCAATATGATATCTGTCCAATATTTTCTTTCCTCAATTCTAGTTAGGGGTTACAGGAGAAAGACATTCTATTATAAGGAGGAGAAAACAAAAAAATTAAACTTACTGCTCTTTGCTCAAGATATTCAGATAAAAAGGATTCAACATCCAGTTTACCATTCAAAAAGTTGTCTGCTATTTTTTCACTCTCTTCATCACTTTTCAGAGCCTCTAATTTCAAATTTTCCTGTTGAAACAAGAAACAAAATTTTTTTTAAAAACAGTGCGGATGAATAATACAGCAGACACAGAATGAGAGTTCCTGCTACCTTGAGCATTACTTTTTTATGACACTCCCTCTTCTTAGTCCTGTCATGCAAGGAATATGTATTAATTAATTACATATCGACGGTGAAAGTCGGCAATCACATAACTCGGTTTGCGACGTCGCAGACTTCCTGTCATACTTTATTTTTTAAATGGAAAACTACTCAACGGCAATCCTTTAAAACTGTCATGATTTTTCTTCTCAATGCGAAGAAAATTCTGCAAAAACTTCAAGAAATAATATCAATTTGTTCTCCTTTATAAAAATGACGTAGAGGCGGAGATTTTCAGACACCGCAAACGAGTTATGTGATTGCCGACTTTCACCGTCGATATGTAGTAATTAATTTCTCCCGGTGATACAGGTCCACGGTGAAACTCAGCGGAATTTCCAAATCTCAGCTACTATTTTATTTTTATTTTTAATGAGAACCAGTTAACATTATTCCTTGAAGTTTTTTCAGAATTTTCCTTGCACCAAGAAGAAAATCTCGGGTTTTAGCATTGAGTCATTTTCCATTTAGATTGTGCATCTTCATTAAAATCCAAATAAACGCATTGAATGGCATATAATTTTTGTTTATCTACCAAAAAACTGTCAAGTTTGAGGGGAAATGAATGGGTAAATTTTATTGTGTATTGGTATTTTTTTCAAGCAAGGAAGAAGTTGCACAATATTGACAACACTGTGATCGAGTAAGCTCTCTTCTGTAGATGTGATCTAATTAACAGCCTGCTGAATTCGATAAGCAGCATTTTAGCTCTTGTGGACGAGTTGTGCAAAATTATATGGTACTGAAGGTAATGATAGTGTGGCAGCAAGCCACCCGCTTCCCCAACCAGCGCAGCTCATTGGCTGTAGCTTGCTGTAAACGCAGCTACATAGGCCGCGAGCTCACCAATTAAGTTCACTCCGCTTCTGACAGTCACACGGATCACACCTCTCCTCCGGCGGACATCATGCAGCTGACCGGCTTGCCCCTTCTAACAGCCCTTCTTAGGGCCACCGCTTCATAGAGCACTACATTTGGTCAATGGCCATGGAGATGAGATGATCGTTAAAAAACACAATGTAAAAATACTTACTTTGATATTCTGAGGAGAATATTTGCTGGCGAGAGTTTGATATTCAAGAAAGAGTTTCTCGTGCAAAGATCGTAACTCAGTAACAGCTTTCAATTTACTTGCAGTTTCTTGACGGAGTTGAAGCATCTGAGGTTGCTTTGACAAGTTATGCTCTGTAAAAAATGTCGGAAAAAATTTAGAAACAGTTGACATGCAGAAAGTCTTTTGATAAAAATTAAATAAATAATATGTTCACAGCATGTTTAATGCCTGTGATTTTTAAGTACCAATATCTATTTCAACAGGTCTCATTCCTCTATTTTGATAAAGGCATTTCAAACACTACGTAAGTGATAGCTCAAAAATAAAATTTAAAAAAATTGCACCCAATTGCAACTTATTGATAGTAAAGACAGACTCTTAAAACGTATAAGGGAAAACTGCATTACGTAGGAACGATCAATTCTGGTTATCAAAAGAGTACAACCAAAAAACCAGCAGTTTTTGACACTTGAGAGCAAGGGCCAGAGTTGAAAAATGCAAACTTATGTCAGAGTGCCACGTTGTAAATCTCGGCTCATGTTTAAGAGGTTTGATTGTATTTTCTTTAAATCTTTTTCCCTCGTTCTAAAAAAAATAGCAAGGAATCATTAGGATTAATTTTCCTAGCAGGAAGAAAAAATAATCAAGAGATTTTATGATGTTGCAATTGAGATGCTCATTTATCATTTTTTGCCATCAACATGGGTTGTGGCAAAGGGAACTTTATCTACTGCATGAGAATAAAAGTTCCCGAGAAGACTAAGGAATAAGTAACTAAGGGTGCTGCGGCTTGATGTCTTAGGGGTAATTTTGAATTTAAAATTATAGAGTGCATTTAAGGTGGGTCTTTGGCGCTTTGGCAAACAATATGATAGTCAAACGATCAATATATTACTTCTGGAAATAAGGAGATTTTTAAAGAGTTTCCAAGCATCACATGATGGTGAAGAACGTCAGGAATTAGTACACAAAATTTGATCGAAAGACACTTGGAAATTACTGCGAAAAAACGTCCTGGGAGAATATCACAGATTGCTTGACCTTACATTCAGCAACATTTATTTGGAATGTACTTTAAAAGCTATTTCAAAATGCTCCTTCGTCAAATTTTGTGTACAAATACCTGACGTACCTATGTCAATGTGATGCGATGCTCGGAAAATTCTAAAACCCAGATATGATCGATTGGCCATCAAATCCTTCTCCCAAGTGCTGAAGAACAGTTTTAATAAATTAATTGTGATGGAGGCGGGAATGATGATAATACTCCAAGATGAGCTAGTTATCAGTGAAAGATATTGAAGGACACAAAGCAAAACATGAAAGCTTAAACATGATTTTCTTCACATACGTATCGTTCAGAGTTCAATAGAATCACTGGAGAACAAAAGTTTATCACTTAATCGTGAAACGAAAAGTATTTAAACTCATCAACACTCATTGTCAGTTCGGACTGTGTCATCAAAACTGATCAAAATAGAAATACTGAATAACTAGATACTAGATAACTAGTTGGATGACGAGGAAAAGGAGTTTGAGGTTAGATAAGTTGTCACAGATTGTACAATCGCAACCGACAATAGAGTGAGACAGATGCTGTTTGTTTACATTTTGAAGACCATTGTTAGCAAGCAAAAATCAAAATGGCGGATTTTCTATCTCACTCGTTTTGCTACCTGTATTCTGACTTCACGTAAGTCGCCTAGCACATAGGCAAACCCGTGAACGAAGTAGACTATCAGGATTTTTATTACTTACGGACGAATACATAGTACCAGGACCTACCAGGACTAGGGCCGGATTTACCTACTTGCCGCCCATGGACCGCCTGTATTTTGCCGCCCCCTTATTTTCATTCGTTTTGAAACATCAATAAAAACCATCAAGTGAACGTGCAGCGGGGAGGAGTGTATAAGACGCGATTGTTTACTCGTGTTGGACACATTTTTTGCAAGCCCTGTCAACATTACTAGCAAAAGTTCACGGAACTTTGCGCGAAAGTTAAGTTCCGTAAACCTATCGCTGTCTGGACGAGGCCTTCCATTTATAAGAAATGAACGAAAAAAGTATGAAAGAACAAACTGACCGCGCTGTGTTTAGCGCAATGCGTGAAGCATTCCTACAGTCTTGTAGGCGCTATGCGTTTCACACAGACTGCTGCTGAACGCACTGTGTTTGACGTAATGCGTGAAGTATTCATGCAGTCTTGTAGGCGCTATGCGTTTGCCGACCGTTACTGACTACACGTCCACGCTGTGTTTGACGCAATGCGTGAAGTATTCATACAGTCTTGTAGGCGCTAATAGGTGTTACACGCCGACCGCCGCGTCGAGGGCTTCTCCTTTTCATCTCAAGTCCTCGTCATAATGGGCCTGTTGCAAACTTTTGCTAGAGCAAAACTAAGATTTGTTTCTTATAGATAATGCCTCAAAAATCACGATGAGCGCATCGGCAAAGTCTGAAATGCACTCATAACTTCACAAACTGCGTAAGAAATTTGCGGTTTTTTGAGCTTCCCGCNTGGTGTTTTTTGGACCACTTTGAGGGCCTAGATGAGGGTGATGGCACAGGCTAGAAGGCGGCAGACAAAGTTTTTGTAGTCACCCTGGGTATGATCTTTAATAATAGACTTGTCTGCCGAGCGTCAGGAGTTTGTCACCAGATGGTGTTTTTTGGACCACTTTGAGGGCCTAGATGAGGGTGATGGCACAGGCTAGAGGGCGGCAGACAAAAATTTTCCGTTTCAGTGCATGCAAGGCTATCGATTTAGGGGGTCAAAACATGTATCCCGAGTTTGTCACTCAAAGTCGTCTGGCTCTCGGACTATTACTGACTACACGTCCACGCTGTGTTTGACGCAATGCGTGAAGTATTCATACAGTCTTGTAGGCGCTAATAGGTGTTACACGCCGACCGCCGCGTCGAGGGCTTCTCCTTTTCATCTCAAGTCCTCGTCATAATTGCTCTCTGCGCCGCGACGTTCCAGGCCAAATTGCGTGTTTGGTTCCTCTCTTTACTCGACCAATTAAAGGGTGCTGTCTCTTATATTGACAAAAACAACAAAATTAGAAATTACAATGCTCCAGGAAGTGGAGATTTTGTCGCCTTTTCTCGTTTGTAATTTTTTTTTCTGAATCCGATATTTTTTTATGACTACATTTAAAAAAATTGAAAAATTTGCCGCCATGGGCCGCGGCCCATGTGGCCACCCCCTAAATCTGGCCCTGCGTGGTACATAAGTGAGGTTGGTGGTAGTTGAGGTTGGTGAAGAGAACGAGGCACTGGGTACTTTTACTTTCCAGAAACATAGAATTTTACTTACTTGCTAGTTCTTCATTTTGTGTCATAAGATCCTCTAACTGTCTATTTAATTCAGAGACGATTGGTAACGATTCAAGAAATTCGTCCAAACAATCATTATTTTCATTTAATTCTTGCAGCGTTTCTACTGAAAGAGTACTTAGATCTGCTGCTTGCGAGGACTGTAAAATTAAAAAAGGAGAATGGTAGTACACAAAAAATATTAAAGCCTGGGGGTACCTAGAATTCGGGTATTTTCCCTGGGGATTCAGAGGTCATAATAATAAAAATTTACCTATTCTCTGTGATACAATTACAATTTAAAAAGGCTTAAAATAATTTTTAATCAGCTGTAAAATATCTCTGTTTATTCAATTTATTGGGGCAAAAAGTCCGGTATGACAGTAAGGATTTTAAACTTTTACCAAGATGGGGATTTAAAATTTCAGTTTATATTAGGAAATGAGATTTCAATGATTTGACTCAAGAGCCACGTGTTTTGATTGTAGAATTTCAACAATTTCGCACCTGATTTACCTACTTATTTAATTCAAAGCCAGATCAAAAGGCAAAAAGCCACCTTCATTGCTTGAAATATTCTCAAATATCCTTCAAATCAGAAAATTTTAAAAAACATTCTCTCCCATTTCAAAAAAATGTTAAAATGAAGGGTACGTAGTTAGCAACCTTGTGCAAACTAAGATTCGCAATTTCCACCTTAAAGCTATTGATGTGAATTTTAAGGCGACAAATGGGTCTTCTTTGGAATCTTCCTTAAAGTGAAGCTAGGTAAAAAATTAAAAAATACTCAGGTTTATAAAATCTTTTGCCATGCACCAATATTTCAGGTTCCTGGGTGATTTAAGCGGACAGTGGCAGATGGCTTGGCACCTACCGACTATTGATCTTTTTGCAGGGTGAAAAAATTTTCCAATAGGGGAGAAATTTTGAGCCTGAGATTACAATTGATTATGGCTCTGATTGCACGCTGATTGGCGATTTGCACGCCTCATTAAAACAATACTCTTCAATTATCTACTGTTTTTGATCAGTGACAAATGAGGTCCAACTCTTATAGGTACTTGTTAATTTTGAAAATTGACTTTTCTGCTGAAATAACTTAAGACCAATTTATGACCGAGTTCCTTTTTTCCTAATGGAATGCTCAATTTTCAAGGAGCAATCAGGTACTTTACTTGATGGACTTTTTTTGTATTCTCTTGGTAGATCTGCAACTTCTCCTGAGAAATTTTCGATTCTGAGTCATAGCAGTTTTTGATATGAGCTAGACCGTTTATTTTAGAGATGATACTTCCATTCTGGTTTTCCTGTTTACACCGGTCAAGTAAATACAGCTGTGTGAACAGGGTGATCCAAAAGTCTTGAACCATCTGTATGACCCCTAGGGTTCTTGTCCCCTTTCAGGNGGGGGGGGGGGGGGGGAATGTTGCCTCTTTTGATTAAGAAGCACTTGCAAAATTTAAAGTCTCTATCCTCATTTGAGCAAAGTTACAGCGGTAAATGTCTGATGTTAACGACTTTGGAATCACCCTGTATAGATGCTATTTTAACAGCCACTGCCTCAATTTCACTGTTATTCCAACACTACCCATTGTTACCATTTTGAAGTAAAAGGCAAGGGTCTAAATTTGGGCCTCCTAACTTTGTTCAAATTAATTCAACCTCGCCATCTAGACTGATCTCAGACAGAAAGTAAATTTGTCTCGTTGCTTCGAAGAGTACAAAATGAAGCCTACAGTTGATAAAAAAAACCTCCCAAATATCCTCTAAAAGAAAGTATCAAGAGAGGGTTTGGAGCCAAAATAATGTTTTATGAAAATTGCCACACTTTTATACTTTCTGAGAGCATCGGTCAAAGGTTTTCATACTTCCATCACACGTCTAGCGTTAAAGTGGTGAAGAGCTCTCCTCCACAAATACGATACTATACGCACCAACTTAAAAGCTATTATGAAAAATTATTTAGATCACCATCCAGAGTAGGCAATAAGCAATGCTATGAAAAATAGTTCCCTAACACTGCATTTAATGAACAAAAAGCATACGGCTAGAAGAGCTTTACCTTCATTGTGCTAGGAGATGCAGGGACTGGCCTCCAGGTGCTCATCTCTACATTGGAAACTTATGCTTTCTTTAATCTCAATTTACAATAGCTAGGAGTTTAGGTAGAATCTTGTTAGCACTTAACTTTTCTAGCATCAGTTACAGTATGGAACTTTTGTGACCAGCCTTGAACTGCTTTGAACAGTTATGCTGTAATTTTCAATTAAATTACACAGTGAAATCGAAATTGTCACCCTACCTAAGTATCCAATTGATTGAAACGATCAAAGGACGAGAAATCTAAATTTAATTATAAAACTATTTTTCTTGAGTGCTTTCTTTCAATTTTCTTTTGTTGCATATTGAGGAGCATTTGGAATACTATGGAGACAACATCCAAAAACAAGAATGAGGCTTTAAAGCATCGTTCAGTGCGTAACAATTGTATGAATACAGAAGATTTGAATAACAAAGCAGTATGTTTTAGTTTCATAATTTAATTTGACTTTCATATAAAGAAACTGAGACAATAAGATTTTGGTGAGTTATCTGTAAGAATACAAAATCTGATTAGAAACCTATTGATAAAACTAAATATTAGCTCTACTATGGTTACCAAATCTCATCTATTTGTGTTCAAAACAAAGACTCCAGTGTAATTATAATCTGGAGACTAACTGTCAACTTTAAATCTTACATCTTCCCAATGAAGGAAATACATTTTTTTTTATGGTCTTTCTCTGTAAGAACTGAATGATCAAGGCTCACTAAAAGCATATCTCTGCTGATGGCGAAGAATACTTGGCATGACCTTGAAAAGGACTGTTCCCAGTCCTTGCTCTTCTATCATCAATATCCATGGGTGACTCACTCAGCTTTGCTATTAATAAAACATTAAAATTTCAGCAATGACTCACTTCATCCGACAACTTCACTGACGCTCTTTTCAAAGGAACATTTTGTATTCATGTCATTCTCATATAAACCTTATGGTTCACAAATCTAGAAAAAATTATTTTAGAGCCTTTTCACTTCAGACAGAAGAAACTTGCTTAAAGGAGGACCTGAGTGCGAAAAGACCTTGTGTTCACAGATATTGGCTTTAGAATGTAGAAAATGATGCAACAAGGAGTTCACTACACGAGTGAAAGGACCTGAATGCTGACCATTTTTATTCACCTGCGAGTGTCAAAAAGACTCTATGTTGCGCAAAAAGTTGAACAAAACAAAATATTCTTTTTCTTGCATGTATAGAATGATGTACAGGTATAATTTACACCATCTTCTTTGGACAAGTAATTGAATTCATCAATAATTTTGCCCTCTTGTTCTTTATTTTATTAAATTACATTAAGTATTTTTCAACATTCCTCTTTCCTCGAATAACTTGGCCTCTTTTCTTGAGAATTTGGAGCATACTACTTAGACAGGTTGACTTCAGAATTTTAGAAAATGATAAAACATTGTTTGACTGAGTCTGTTGTTTGCAAACATACCTAAAGCACCATGAATTCATAAACAATTGTGTTTCTTGGTTATAAGAGAGAAAAAGTGACAAATCTTCTAGGAATTTCAATTGAGGACATGATGCAAAACTTCATTTTGACTGAAGTTAGTGCTGTTTTCAAAATTAAAATGATTCGATCTCGAAATGATGAAGAGGACTGGACATGAAAAATACCAATACTTTCCTCGCAGAATACCATGTTCCCATTGTCTGTAATCACTTTCTGTAAAGTTATTTCCCATATTGAGAGGAATTCCCGTTTTTTACTTTTTTCAAAACTCCCGCACACTTTTTGATGACAGAAAACCAAAAATTTAAAATTTCAGGAATTTAATCACAATGACCAAAAGCTGATAAAATGAGACAATAATTCTATAGGACTTCAATTGATTCAGAAGCAGTCCAGCTGTTCAGAAACTTATTATATTGACAAGGTTCTAAAAAATGGCACGGTTTGAATGTTGAATGTTAAATAAATATTTTCAGCCCATGACTCGAGCAGTACTAAACATGGAACATTTTCCTGCTCTCCAGATTAAAATATAGTTGAGTGCAGAAATAGTTCTGCAAAAAATTGAGAAATAATGAATGATAGAAGATGAATCAAATGGAGTTTTGATTTTGATCTTCTTTCCTCTTTTGCACTAATGAGTGGTTACAGTTTCTTTCAACCCATGTACCCTGGTTGCAGGAGTACATCCCAATTGATATTTCGTTGGAATACTTCTTGCCTCAACCACACTTGATAATGCTGCCGAAAGTCTTCGGATAGTTCAAACGGTGTGCTCAGGACACTGAGAAGGTTGGTATCAACTGGCTCAAAATCCGGGAAGCTCATGTTGGACAAATATGCAGGATTGTATCGTCTTGTGTTGAAACGATCCACGGATGCTCGTAAGGCACATTCCTCGGCCTGAAAATCCCATGGCCTTGCATCCAAATCATGTCCATAAGCCCAATCATCATTAAGACGATGGCGGACTTTCTGGTAGATAGCACTCATAGTCTTCATATTAATTTTCCTCCACTGCCTGCCAAGATACTTGGTTTGCATCTTGAGAAGTTTCAACACATACAGCTGCATTAATGCATTGCGCACATGGAGACTTCGCTTTAAAATCGGAGCTGATTTAAAAACAACTAACATCATTATCCTTGAGTGTTTCCACTTAGTGAGTTTGTTCAAAATTCGTAACAGATTGATACAAGCAAAATAGTTTCTCCAACAACAATGATTGTGATTATCACCGACTTCCAAGCTTTCTGGTGTTAACTCTGGTTGACATCCAATTACGCACGCAGGAAAGTCAAGAATTGGAATCACATGTTTGGCGCCAACATAGGCACAAATATTTTGATTGAAAAATTTTAGGATTAGTGGAATACAGTTGGCAAAAACTATATGCTGAGACATAAATTCAAATTGATAAACATGGTTGATTTTAAAGTGCTTCAAAAGCAGTAACAAAATAGCAGAGATGGCTTTGACAATTATTTCTTTATGTCTATTGACGTCCATTCCAAGTTTTATTGACTGAAATACAGTCATCGGCATTTCCTCTGGAAGGACATCTGCCATAATGTTGATGGAATCAGCTTTAGCTTTGGAGGTCGGACCTGCTACAAGTAAGATTTTTAATAGAGCGATCATAAATTGAGGCAGCTGAGGCAACATTGCTTGATACAAGACCTCTGTTGGAGTCTGATTAATAACAGACTCTTTCATTGAAATAGGATTGCGGTTCAACTCTTCTTCCCGTTGAATTTGCACTTCTGCAAGAGAGGTGTAGATATGTTGTTTCAGAACCTTCACACTCTCAAAAATAGGGTTTGGAAGCCCAAATAAAGTTTCTGTGTCACCAGGTAAGAAAAACTGTAAGAATTTCTCACGAGTATTATCTAGGAATGTTTCTAAGTCTTTTTTCCTCACTTTTGGAGCCCAAGGCAGACCTTTACAAGAGCCTGTTTCCATGGGCATATCTACATCAGTATTCATTGAATCAGAACCAGACTGCTCAGAGGATTCCAATTGTGGGGTCGACTGATTATCTACTTCGTCTTCATCATAGTCATCAGTCATCTTCAATTTAAAACAAACATCATAATCAGGTTGATCAAGCTGATCATCTGATCGGTCAAGATCTGATTGCTCCGACTGATTTGGATCCAATCGATAGCCAGATAAGGAGAATACATCCGGGACTTGTTCTTTCATGTAATTGGGGGACGAGTCATTCTCTCCATTATTTTGGTCTTCAAAATCAGGCGCATCCATTGAATCTAGTCGCATCAGATTTCGACGGAGGGGCTTGTTGTTTCGTTTTTTCTGTATCTGATTCTGAGCATCAATGACATCAGCAGCGCTGGTTGGTGGAGATGAAGCTCTCATTGTGCTTGCAATTTCTACAGTATCTTCTAGAAAAGGTTTTAAGCCTGCTGCTTCTCTGTACTGAATTTTCAGTCGGCGCAGTTCTTGTGACCCACCTAATGAGACTAGAATGACTTTCCACAGGAACAAGAGAATTTTTTTAACAGGGAAATGCGAAGCCGACCCGCAACAAAATTGAGTTATGAGAGTGAAGAGCTTGATGGCTAACAATTCATCTCGGATTGGCTGAGAAATATCGCTGCGAAATTCATCAAACACTTGTCTCCACTCTTCTTTTTCCGAGTCCTGAAGAGTTCTCATCACTTCTACGATAATATTAAGGAAGTTGAGGATTATTCTTAAGTCAACAGAATCTGCAATGCTGTTGGTAAGTTTCTTTATTGATGTAACGGATGTGTTTTTGCAACCGGTTTCTAAATTTAAAAGATCAATAAAAGCATGAAACGCGCCACATTCGTACAAAAGTACTACATTTTCAGTAGCTTTGGACATGAGTTCTACGTCTGATTGGCACTCTTCCCAGCAGCCTTGAGCGATGTATAACAGGCATCTGGCTGCTGTCATGCGTTTGTTCCTGTCAGTGACTTCCAACAAATCAATTAAGGTGCCAATTGAATTTTTCTTCTCAGCCAAGCTGAATTTATGCCAGAACGGCTGGTTTTCCAAACCTGCTCCGAAGTGGGATTCAAATGCTTTGACATTAAGACAAAATTCAGACTGCTCCGAGTAGCTATAAAGTTCTGCTATTTCATTTGCATGCGAATCAACATCAGCATATGTGAAATCCACATCTGCTGCCTCATTGCTGTAATCCGTGTACTCCCTCTCCGGAGGCTTCCGCCTACCGATGCAAGATAAATTTTTAGTCATTATAACCTGTTACAGAGTGCTCATCCTCCTTCTTCAAATCTATTAACTTGATCTTAATCTGAGTCGTTACTGCTTTCACTTCTGGCTAACCCATTAGCACCTAAAAGTAAAAAAAAAATTTGCTCAATTCATGAGGAGACTCATTATAAAATGAAAAGTAAAACTAGACAATATGTTACCTTGCGTCTAATTTAAACTTAGTTAGTAGCATACTCATTTGCTTTCTTCAATTTTAAAATTTAGCTTGTTCTTGGTTAAAAACAGGCATGTAACTCTCCTGAAAGTTTAAGGATTTCTGACTACTGGACAAATTAAACCTCTATTCAATTAGCTGCTCGGATTAACTGATTTTCACGACCAAGAAAAGTATCTACTTTAGCTAGAACGGTCCAGATAAGATGAATAAGACGCCTACCAAGAAAAAAATTTAAAAAAAAGCGGAGGTGAGGGAAGCTCCGAATGCGAAGGGCCAAGAAAATTTCTCTGGAATTGATAAAAAATAAACTGACGCAAAAACATGGAGTGACCTTGGGAACAAGGCGAGAGAAAGGTGTCACTAGACCTTTTCCCTTCACAGAAAGTGTTAAAAATGGCACGATCCTATCAGTTATTATGACAGAAATGAAACTAAATCATTTTGTTGATTGCCTAGGACCAAATGTGGGTACAATTAAAGAGTTATTTATGAAGGATGGCACTTAAAAAAATTTTTAGAGGGAAATCTTAGAGGTTGCGAAGGAATTTGGTGCTTTCTAAATTTTGCTCTTCCTTCATATGATGTTCTTTGTGATCTCTTGAGCCCGATTAACTTCGAAACGTTTACTTTCCATATGCCAATTTTGAGCAAAGCAAGGGTAATGGCGAATTTTTCAGAATTTCTACACGTTTCTGCTAATGTGATGCCATAATGATACAACATCAGATTCATGAACGGCCCTTTATTCAGAGGTTGAAATGGCAATGATCTGCTGTATGCTGTAATCACGCACTAGAATTTGTTATTTTTGGATAAGAAAGGCCGAAATTTGAGGGTACGCATCAATCTTATCTCCTCAGTTGGCTAAAAGAGGAGAACTCTCTTTTATCACAAATTGAATGTTGTAACACTTCTATTTCAAAATTCACACAAAAGAGCTGAAAAATTCACTTTTCAATCCAGCTTTTCGCAAAATTATAACATAAGAGGAAAGATTTCAAAGATAATCAAGTTCAGAAGGATGTAGAGAACACTATTGAAAAAAATGATAAAATTTAGCCAGGGACGAATTCCTTTGCCATGTGATTTCCTCCATGATTCGTGTAAATTCCGTGGATAAAATTTGTCAAGTGATACTGTTCTAGCAATTTTAACTTCAAAGGATGGTAACTTTGCTTCCGAAAACGTTTATGCAAAATTTTTGCTACACATTTACCTGGAGAGTTGGGAGCAACTCAAAAAATTTGTATGAACTGCCTATTATTGGATTATCAGACGCCTTAGCAAAAATTAACTATGATGACTGAAAATTCAACCTTAAGCAAAAAAGCTTTCAGATGCACCAAAAACAGTGCATTCAACGTTTATTATCCTGGTGAAATTTAAAAAACTCTGGTCAAGTTTAAAACTCAGTCGAGAGCATTACGAGAAATCGATAATTTGCAGAGTATTCCTTACACTCTATGGGGCTCCTTTGTGATTGACAGTGACTAAAGTCAAACAGAAGCTACCTTTCCTACAGAGCAAATGATAAGTAAAAAATTCAACTCTTCCTGAACAATCTAAGCTCCATGACATGATTAGCATTGACCTGTTGGCTAATTAATTTTAAAGACTTGTCTAGTTACTACTGAAACTTTCTCAGTTCTTAGACGAACGTGCAACAAGATGATTCCAGGAATCCAGAAAGTTCTTTGCTCTGACATAAAAAATTAGCAAGCTTTCACGTAAAATACTCTGTTAAAGGGGCTTATCAGCAAGCTTCCGCATAAAATGCTCTGTTGAAGGGGCTTACTAGAGGACTTTTCGCATCAAGTACCTAATGCCCTTGACAAGTTTCTTCACAAAAATAGATGCATTTGAGTTATCTTTGCAAAAACTAATGCATAAAAAAGTTTTCTTAGTTTTCCCCTTAAACTACATTAGTTGACTGTGTGACTCTAACATAACGAAGTGGAAAAAAAACTTTGACTACTTTCACAAAAAAGCGCCAGTGCCTGCTCCCTGCATTTTCTGGACTCCTGGCTAATTCCAAGAATTGTGGAATGGAGCCTTAAAAATTTATGTTTCTACTAATTCTCAGACGCTAAAGCAGGGCCTCTAGTTGTCCTTGCCCTGATTCCACAAAAGTTAACTTCATGATGCTCAAATAGTTACACGGCATCCTAGGATAGAATATCCGAGCTGTGCAGAGACCATGACATAGTAGAATGACCATATGCATTGTAGACTTATTATTCTTTCATACGATCAAAACTCTAAGCTTGATGAGGGGTGTTCTATGAGTGGGGATGGAACAACCAGTGAAATTGAAAGTTACATGTGTGCTGTTGCCAATCTAAAGGCAGTGAAACTTAAAAAATAAAAGTTTCGAGGATACCTACTCGAAAATATACAGTAAAGTTTCCGACACAAAAATGGTAGAGTATCATGGTTTATAAAACTTGTTAGAATGAATTGAGAGCAGTAAAGTTGGAGGACAGAAAAATTGAATTACCATAATGAGAGGAGTATAGACTTGATGCCGGGTTTCCTTAATGATATTTTACTCCATTTCACTCAGCATTGTTTCATGTGAAGTACAAACTGAAAAAGAGAAGGAAAAAGACTGTGGTCATGATCACTTGATAAAATTTTCCAATGAGGCTCTTCACCTCCGATTGCGTAGACTTGTTTTACTCCAAAATTTTATGAAAGCAATGAAGGAATATTACAGCACAATCTTCATATTCCTAAGCATAAAATTGAAACAATATAAAACATGTAAAAATTGTGAAAAGGGCAAACATTTTTCTTCATTCAATTCTAGATCGAAGATCAATCTGCTTTCAGACTGGGAGGCCCCAGAGGCCCTACTACTGAGGAGCTTGACATGCACAGCCATTGACTTGTAAAACAATCTAGACCGCGCACTAGGCCCAACTTTAGGCGGGGGAGGTAAGACAGCTTGCGGGGTAAATCAGGGTAAAGACATGCTTTCAGCTTAGTTGATACAGCCAGATATACGAACGAAGAGTACCAGGCGACGGCTAACGGCACTGGCAAGACTGGCATTTCTATTGTCTCGGTACATATTGCCGGTACACTTGCTGGGTTGCGTATCATCTCGCCTGAGGGGACTCTAGTCTCGCCGAAATTTCCTAATGCGCGGTCTAGATTGTATTATACATCAATGTGCACAGCTTACCATAGTCTACCAGCATGATTATGTGACTAGAGTTACTTTTTAGTCGAATTGACATGGTGATGTAGTGATGGCCAAAGTGCAAAACCACTTACTTATCTCTGTTTGCGACATGATAGACTTCTCATCATACTTTTTTCTTCATTGGAAAACTTGTCAACTTAATTTCTTGAAAACTTCCTTAAATTTTCTTCTGTATTAGCAGAATATTCTGAAGATGTTTCAAGCTTTGTAGTTGGCATGTTTCTTTACGAAAAAATAGTTTAAAGGCAAAGATTCGAAAACACTACAATGGAGATAGACATTTTTGCATTTAAGCTACTGATGGTCTATTTGTTTAAAACAGAAAAGGTTCCCAACAAAATGCTAAAGAAATTGAAATTACACAGAATAATACTGCAGATGTACTGCAATGTGCGTTTGGAGTGCATTGCGCAATGATATTACTGCAAAGCTGCTGGGTTCAATCGTTGATCAATAACTTCAAAGACTCGTGTCCACTATGGATTGGGATACTTTTGAGTACCTGTATAGCGAGAGTATGGATAGGTGAGAAACTTCTAAAATCCATCAGGCCTTCACCAATGCCTCTGCGAATAAAGTTAAAGCCCAAAAGGGCTGCCGACCTATGAATTCAGATTATCCAGAACCATTTACTATTACAATTGTTATGACTTCCGATTTGCAATGCACGTACTTGACTTAGGTTTCGCATGAACGTACTCATTTTAGCGGAAGAACGCTCATTTAGGAACATTCTTGGCCATCATGGTTGGAGTTAGAATCTGACGATTGGCAGTGAAATTTTGTGTGTTAGAAAGCCAGCTGCTCTTATGGGCCATAGGCCCTCTACGAGGCGAGCTGTCCATACTCTCTCTATACAGGTGCTCTACGGTACGATGTGGTACACCCTGGCACCCGAAGAGATAGGCATTGTGGCGGGGAAGGAGCCACTTTTATGCACCTGTCAGACACAGCTCATTTATCTCTAAGTCATAGACAACACAGCATCAGAGAGTCACTCCAGTGACACATCAATAATATTGCGACCTAATGTGATCTGTGAATTTGCATAACCATTGAGGTTAGGTTCTACAACAGTCCTTACTCTACTCTAACCTGCAGCCCATTGGACCACGAATTGTTAAGAACATCTACCATTCAAGGAAGGTCTAGAGTTTTTGAAAAAATTTTGGCTTGAAATCCAAACGCAAAAAGCAGAATAATCAGAGAATGCATTGAAACCAGAATAATTCATCTCAAGGCTTCCATCAGGGACTAGTCATCAAGAGATCAAGTTGATAGTTTCTTCCTTACTATGCTGGCGACCTAGAAGATAGAAGCAAACTTTGGCAAGTGAGTGAGAAACTTTGAACTGAAACTTACAACTTTAAATTTCAGCCACAGTTCACCATCATTGATTCATCAATCTTGTATGATAAGAGCTGCAGGGCTTGGAATTAACTTCCTTAATTTTTGGAAACTAGATAAGACTACCATATACACTGGCAGTGTTATAAACTATCACTCCTAATCATCGAGTTAAAATAAAAATAAAATCAAGTATGACAGAAACTACGCGAGCACATAATAAGTCTGCAACTCGGACACGAAATCATAGACGAAATGAACAAAAAAGAGTGTATTGTTGGGGTTGACGGCCATCTTGTCTGTCTGTATCCACTCTCACTCGCTACCGGTGACGTAAAGTGCTAGCGCAACGACCAATGATAAACGCTTTCCTAGACGGTCAAACAAAACACTAGCAAAACTGCAAAACGGTCAAAATCAACAGTAAGTATTATTGGGTACATGTCGTTGGGTCCATGTGTCCGCCATGGTGTGTCCGCGGTCCTGGTGTAAATTAAATTTTGAGTTTTATTCTTGTTAAAAAAATGAAACCCACAAAAAGTAGACATAAATTTCACGAACCCTGGTCATCTAATGAAAGAGGTGAAATATTTTTTTTAAAAAAAATAGGAAAAAGTATACACTTACGTGCGACATACATTTACATTAAATACTAGAGGGTCCGCCACCTGACGGCGCACCGTGGTCGTACATATGCGCAATGCATGAAGTATTCAAGGGTCTTGTAAGGCGCTACTACGCGCCGTGCGCGCCAGCTCCGCGCCGATCGCACCGTGTTTGACGCGCAATGCATGAAGTATTCAAGGGTCTTGTAAGGCGCTACTACGCGCGTTGCGCCGCCGTTGTATACCGTGCGCGCACCGTGCTATACGCGCAATGCATGAAGTATTCTAGGGTCTTGTAAGGCGCTACTACGCGCCGTGCGCGCCAGCTCCGCGCCGATCGCACCGTGTTTGACGCGATTATTCAAACTTAAGGCGTCGCGTCGGCGATTTTCAACTTATGATTGTGAAGTTTTTGTACAGTTTGATGGGATCATTGTCATTGCCAAAGATAGAACATTATCTAGAACCCGACTAATTTTCTTCTCTTCATATTTTTATAAATACATACATTATAAACATATGTTGATAAATAATTTTAAATAGAAATACGCAAGTGAAACGAGTTTTACCCACAAGTAAGCTTCCTCGTTGCTCAGCGATGTAATTACGTGGTCTTTTGGACTACATTTTGCTATTCGGAACTACAATTTCTAGCTCATCTATAAAAACACGTGTGTGCATAATGAAACTAACGGTACATATGTTGTTCCTAAACGAAGCCAGAAATTGTGGTCCCTAATTGCAAAACGAGGTTCATTTGACTAATGAACCATTTCGAAGCAGAAGGTATGGATTCGATCGACATAATTCGATCGACAAGTAAAAACGTGAATCGATCGAAAAGTAAAAAATCCAGAGATATCAGGTGCAAGATGATGACTAATATAAACTGCAAAATAGCTGATGAAAAAGTCTGAAATCTTTGTAAAA